CAGGCCTTGCTGCTGCTGCTGCGCTTCTTGCTGCTGCTGCTGCTGCTGCTGCTGCTGCTGCTCGCGCCCCCGCCCCCCAGCAGCTCCGCCCACCACGCCGCTGGCGCTCGAGGCGCACACTCGTCCAGCCCTGCTGCTGCTGCTGCGCCGCCGGCGGCCGTCGCTGCTGCTTCAAGCTGCAGCAACTCCTGCTGCTGCTGCTGCTGCTGCTGCTGCTGCTGCGGGTTCACTGTGTACACGTGCAGCAGCAGCAGCTCCAGGTCCGTGCACGTGACGGGCGCATGCAACAACGGCAGCAGCGAGGCGGCCACCGACAGCTGCGTCGGCTGGCTCCGCTGCTGCTGCTGCTGCTGCTGCTGCTGCTGCTGCTGCTGCTGCGGGCCCAGCCCAAGAGCCCACCATACGTCTGCGCTCGCAACAAAATGCATTAGGGGAAGAGCCTCAGCCTTCCCTAAAGCAGACACGTTGCGAATGGTGACGAGGGCCTCTCGGACTTTGCTGCTGCTGCTGCTGCTGCTGCTGTTACCGTTGCTGCTGCTGTTACCGTTGCTGCTGCTGGTGCCGTTGCTGCTGCTGGCGCCGTTGCTGCTGCTAGTGTGATTGCATTCTGTGTGTTTCTCCAGTTGTTTGTGCTGCTGCTGCTGCTGCTGCTGCTGCGTGGGTTCTATGCGGAGAAGGCGCTGCGCTCCTTCTATGAGCCGCAGCTGCTGCAGCGTCCGCGTTGCTGCGTACAGCATGCCTCCTGCTGCTGCTGCTGCTGGCTGCTGCAGCGACAGAGTGATTGGGAGACACTCAGCAGCAGCAGGTGGGCCTTCTGCGCGCGCCTTCTGGCGGGCGGCCTTCAGCTCTGTGCAGCGCATCGCCGTTGCTGCTGCTGCTGCTGCTGCTGCTGCTGGGGTGGGGGCTGCTGGGGTTCTTCCGCTGCTGCTAGGCGCTCGAAGTCATGCTGCAGCAGGGGGTGTTTGGCTGCTGCGAGCCGCCGCGGAAGAGCTGCAGCGGTGACAACAGCAACAGCAGCAGCAGCAGCAGCAGCAGCAGTTCGGCTGCAGCGGCAGGGGCCAATTTGCTGCTGCTCGATGTGTGTGGGAACTGGGAAACAAAAAAAAGTCACCTACAAAAAAAAGACAAAAATTAACTAGCTGGTGTGTTCTAGTTAGAGACACAGCGAGTTACCGCAGCAGCAGCAGCAACAGCAGCTATGGAGCAGCAGCAGCAGCAGCAGCAGCAGCAGTTCCCACAGAACAGTGGCGGCAGCAGCCGGTTAAACTTTGTGGAGCTGCTGCGTCGCTTGTCTTCTTTTGCATTTCTGAATATCTTTTTGCTGCTGGAAGTGAAGCAAATAAAAGTTTCTGAACTCGGTTTGCTCTAAAGGCTACGTTCGTGCCTACGCGCTGCTGCTCTCGAGGATCGATGTTGGTGGCCTCCTCCGCAGCAGGCATGCGCGGGGCCCCACAGGGAATGGGGAGTGCTGCCACATCTGGAGAGAAGGTTAGGAGAGTTTGCTGCTAGCATTGCATGCGAGCATTTTCGGGAGGTTTTAGCTGCGTTTGTTGCTGCTGCTGCTCCGCGTTTGCTGCTGCTGCTGCTGCTGCTGCTGCTGTGCGTGGGGCTGCTGCCGTTGTGCTTCTTCGCGAGTGCCGCAATGTCCGAGTCTGCGCCAGGGTCTTCTGCTGCTGCAGCAGCAGCAGCAGCAGCAGGGGAGGAAAACGGCGCTGCGGACCCGCGCCCGGCCGCTGCTGACCCCCCAACCAGCAGCAGCAGCAGCAGCAGCAGCAGCAGCAGCATTGGGGAGGTCGTTGCGCCGACGGTGTACGGGTCGACGTACACGACTCCGTCGAGTTACCCAGCAGCAGCAGCAGCAGGAGCAGCAGCAACAGCAGCAGCAAGTGCTGCAGTGCTGCAGCCGTCAGCAGCAGTCCCGAAGAACGCGACAGTGGTCCGCGGCTGCAGCTTCAGCAGCTTTCCCTCGCTGCTGCAGCTGACAGCAAGTTTGCTGCCGACGGGGCTGCAGGCGACGCAGCTGGGCCGGGCCATCGAAGTGGTGGAAGCAATGCTGGACTGGCGGCCGCCGACGCAGCAGCAGCAGCAGCAGCAGCAGCAGCAGCGGCGGCAGCGGCGGCAGCGGAAGCAGCAGATCCGGCAGCTGCTAGCGCAGCACAACCTGCTGCGCGCGCGCAGCAGCAGCTCCCCCGCCGCCTCCTTCAGCAGCAGCAGCGACCTCAGCAGCAGCAGCAGCAGCAGCAGCAGCAGCGACGAAGACCCACCCCCAGAACCGCAGCAGCAGCAGCAGCAGCAGCAGCAGCAGCGGTGCGCGATCTGGGTGAGCTTCACCTCGAATATGATGAGCAGCGGGGTCCGGGAAAGCCTCGTCTTCCTCGCAAGACACAAACTAATTGCTGCTGCAGTGACTTCGGGGGGAGGAATTGAAGAAGATATAATAAAGTGCTTCGGCCCCACACTTGTGGGGTCTTTTCTGCTGCGGGGCCCCCGGCTGCGCCGCCGCGGGTGGAACCGCATTGGCAATTTGATTTTGCCCAACGAGAACTACTGCAAGTTCGAGGACTGGCTGCAGCCGCAGCTCGACTTGCTGCTGCAGCAGCAGCAGCAGCGGCTCGCTGCGGCCCTCGAACGCTGCCGCAGCAGCAGCAGCAGCAGCAAGGCACTCACCAGCAGCAGCAGCAGCAGCAGCAGAAACAGCAGCAGCAAAGACAAAGAGGAAACGAGCAGCAGCAGCAGCAAACCGCAGCAGCAGCAGCAGCAGCAGCAGCAGCAGCAGGAGCTGCCGTGTCTGTCGGAAGTGACCATGACCCCCTCGGAGTTGGCCCGGGCTTTGGGCGCTGCGCTGCAGCAGCACCCGCGGCGGGAAGAAAGCTTTCTGTACTGGTGCAGCAGGAACTCCATTCCTGTCTTTTGTCCGGGGATTACTGACGGAAGTTTGGGAGATAATTTATATTTTCATCATTTCAGAAATCCCGGATTGGTGATAGATGTGGCCCGAGACGTTGCTGCAGCAAACCAACTTGCTGCCAGCTGCTGCTGCAGCGGGCTGCTGCTGCTCGGCGGCGGCGCCCCCAAACACCACGCAGCAAACGCCCAGCTGATGCGCGGCGGCGCGGACTTCGCCGTATATTTGAATTCAGCAGCAGATTTCGACGGGAGCGATTCTGGGGCAAGACCGGACGAAGCAAGAAGCTGGGGGAAGCTAAGAGCTGCTGCTGCAGCAGCAAAGGTCACTGCGGACGCTTCGATCACTTTTCCCATTCTTGTTGCTGCTACTTTCGCTAAAAGACACTTTATGGAGAAGGGGGGGGGAGGGGC